GAATGAGGCAAGCAGAAGAACAAGAACGCACTCCCCCACCTCCCACCGCCAGCACCGAAACTCGCAACGAATACCATTCTGCTATTGTTCGGTCTTTCCTTCAATGTTCTTGTTTTCCTGCTGCCGTAGTTTGTCCTTCCTTTGGGTCCTCGTTGCTCTACATGTTCATGCCGAATCTTGCTACACACACACACAGGCACATATATATATATATATACGCCTTTTTCTTTTTGCTGTTGTTCCCGTCGGACCCCGCAGTTAGCCCCAGGTCAGCGGTCGGATCAGGCAGAGCAGCTGAAACACGCATCGCCGTAGAAGAAAATTTGTGTGGTGCACGACCTGCAGACGCACCTCCTCCCCCTTCTCGTGCAGGAGAAGTGTGTAGAGGTTAAAATGGGACGCATGCCCCTCAAGTATGTGCAGGTCGGGTTCGTCGGCAGACTCCTCCAGTGCGGCAAAGGCGCAGCGCTGGGTCTGGTACCGCACGCTGTGCCAGTCGGAGTCGTCGTCTAAGTGAACCTCCAGCCGTGCGTCCTGGTCGAGGGCACGGGACTGCTTGGAGACGCGAAATAGAGCCAAATCCGCATCTTCGCCGTACCTGTTGTGTCGCGAGCTTGCAATGGCGTAGAAGAGGCAAAATTGTGCGATATCCGCGTACACCTTTTCTTCCAACGCGGAGCTCTTTGGCACAATACTTTCAATGAACTTCGCATCCTCGTCTTCCAAGAGGAAGTTAAATCCTGTTTGCGAGAGCAGCCGCAACAGCGTGGCAGGCTCAAGCCAGTTCTCGCGCAGGTACGCCAACTCTGGGTCTTCTGGAGCCAAGAGCTTGCACTGCGCATCCTGGACGAGAATGCGGAACTCCCGATCACCGCCCTCGCCACGTCGACGCCCCTCCAAGACCATCAATACCTGGTCAAAGCTCATCGGGTGTAGGCGCCAATGCTCGTACGGGACATCAAAGCCCTTCTCCTGCAAAACCGCGAAGGTGGAAAACTCGGAGGTTGCAAACACACAGCGTCTAGCCTCGGTTCCGCTCGTGTCTGTGGAAGGGTTTGTGTGGCTGCACGGTTCCCAGTCCTTGGACGCCTCTAGCCATCTTCCAATAAGAAGCGAGGCGTGTCGCATAACGATGCTGTTTGGAGCCTCAAAGGAAACACGGAGTGAAAGATCCTCCTCCACGTTTTCCACAACTTGCGGCGGGTATGGAACGACATGTAAGACGTGCGCCTCTTCCGTTTCAGAGCGGTAAAGCCAGTCTCCACTCTTATTTGGGCGCTCTGTGAAATTTAAAAGGTCTATTTTTATGACGCAGTTCAATGCGTAGTATTCGCGACCAACGGAACCGTGGTGACCGTGGGGATTAAACCCCAACTGAATAATGCGCACCGCCACATTCTCCTTACTCAATCCCAGCGCCTTTGGAAGCTTCGGTAAGGCACTGGATTTGGGATCCAGGCGCATTGCGATGTTGGGGAATGCCATGGCAGCAAAACTGCGCGTCGTCTCCTTCACCTTCACCCAGAGGCCATACTTTACCACAGGATTGGCTGGTGGGACACTCATGGTTAGGAACTCGCTATCTGGGCCCTCCAGCATGACGTCGTACCCAAGCAAGGCGTGAATGGTGATAAAGTCTAAGGACTGGAGCACCTGCTCACATACCCGTCCGATGTTTGTGCTGAAAAATGCAAGATCCTTCAGCTTGCGCTGCGTCAGAGAACGATCCGCCTCCAAGTGGATGGCTTCTGTCAACTCGTACGCCTCAAGACACCGTCGGAGTTCCGACTCCACCATCTTCTTGCGATCCGCTGGAGAAACGCCAAGCTCCCCGTTCACGAACCGAAACATGCTGGTGACCCCGCCAATGGAACCTCGCTTGGCGAGCACCGTAACAGGGGGGCTATACTTGTCATACTCCTCCTCCCTCTCGCGCCACACACTAAGGAACGTGTTGATGGAGCTTTCACTGTCGACCTGTGGGAGTCGTGAGGCTTCTGGAATCCGGCTCCATCTGCGGTGCTTCTCGCACTCTCTGTAGGCAAGCTGCTCGCGCTCCTCCATCTCCTTCACCACCTTCTCATGCTCCGCCTTATCGTTGCTCAGTCGCGCCTTCTCCAGGGCGGCGTCGAGGGAGGCATCCTGGCGCGCCACCTGGTCGGCTGCCTCCCGCTTCACCCGCTCCCGCTCGTGTTGCTTGTACATCCGATCGGCCATATCCACGGCCTTGTTGAGGGCCACCTGCTGCGCGTTCAGCTTCCTGGGCTTCGCATCCTTGTTCTTGTCGCTCCTGCCCCCCATGCCGCCGACGCCGACGCCGGGCGACGCCCCTGTGATCGACTGTCGCCCGGGCCGCACGCCATCCTTCGGGGGCATTTCTCCGCCACGCGCCTGCACACCGCTCCGCGAAGGTGCACCGCCGCGCTCTCCACACCCGTCGGAGGAAACAAAAGCCACAGAAGCAGGAGGACACGTGAGGGAACGCACAAGCGCACAGGCACACGCACACACACAAAGGAGAAGGTGGAGCCGCAGCACCGCGGCGACGAGAATCCACACACCTGCACACAACCAGGCAAGCAACAACAAACAAGAAGAAGAAAACAAAAACGGAGTTCGTTGAAGAAACAGTCTTCCCCACCCCCGCGCTACTAACCAGGCAACGAACGGTTTGGCTTCAACGGAATGCCACATTCAAGCATCTTGGGAATGCCCGAGGTTGCCCCTCCTACCCGCACGCCTCGAAAGAAAAGGAAAAAAAAAATTAACAATGGGCGCAGCAAGTAGGACCAATTAAAAAGAAGGCTATACAGAAGAAAAAACGATTTCAACACCCAGATTTGGTTTGCTTGTTTACTTTCCAATGTTATTGCTCTTGTTGCCGTTTTTTTTCCTTCTTTGATGTCGTTGTTGTTGTTGTTGTTTTTTTTCGCCTCCGTTGCGGTGCCGCGCAGGAACCCCCCCAAGCCGCACCCTCAGCCCTGCGGCGCGGCCACCTCGACACCGGGGCACGGGGGTGCGGCTCTAAATAACGATGGAGTGCGCAACACCCTGCCGAGCCTCACCGACGCCATCGCGTGAGGAGGAGCGTGGGCGATCAATCGTCAGGCACTCCAACTTCTCATCGATTTCCTGCATGACACGCTTCAGCACCTCCTTCGGGCCCACGGTTCGAGTAACGCCTGACCCGCCCCTCACGGCAACGATCCATCGCCCAACCTCCTCCGCGCTCGCCGTCGCCCGGATCTTCGCGACCACCCGCTGGACGATCTCCTCCCCCGTCTCCTCGTACCCGTCTGTCAGTGCAATATTCGTCGGGAAATCCAACTGTCCCTCCCCTGATCGTCGACCGTAAAAGACGACGTTCACGCGCGAAAACCCCGGCCTCAGCTCCGCCAGCACGTCGACTACATACACGCCACCTCGCTGCGGCAATTCCTCATCCTCGACTACGTGCACACGCTGAGTTCGGTCGGTGAAACCGCTAATGAGGCGCAACACGGGAATGCCCTCCTTCAGGCCATTCGCCATGTAACGGCAGATGTCATCTGGAAGGCAGGGAGCCGCCTGCTCCTGTGCAAGACGAAACAACTCAGCTAACTTGTACGGCCTCGCTTCGATGTACACGGTGGGACGTATGCCGCCGCCCACGTTAAACAACACAGTACGCAGCTTGTCAAGTGCCCTCCACGGGATCGGAAGCAGCGTCACAAACAGCTTTCGTTGCTCCCCACCAGGCCAGACGAAGTCAAATGAACCCGCAATCGTGGAACTCGGAAAAAGGAGAGAAGCCTCCGTGGGATCTACAAGCTGTCTCGCGTGGGGATTAAAGTACTGGAAGCAAATGTGCTCTGCGGAGGCCGGAGCAGAATGCTGCGTCTCGCACAGGTGCTTATAAATTTTATCCTGCATCTCCGCATCCGACACCTCGGCATCGACAGAAATGCTGCCAGTGGACGTCGACTTCCCCGACCCACAAGGATCAAGCAGCAGAATCTCAACCTCCCTCATCCTGCGCTGGCGCAGCAGCTCCAACACACGCTCGTTGGACATTGACGCGGGACACAAAACGACCTTGACACCCACTAACACTTTCTCAACCGACGACTCCCACAAGTCTTGGTCTTG